GGGGATGGCACTGGATGGGGCGTGGTTAGGGGCAACGTCATGTGAACACATGGGAAAAAGTACCGGAATGATGCCGGAACAAGGTAGGATTGCTTCTGCCTTAAGCCCAGTGTGAAAACGTCCAAAGAGACATGCAAGACTATCGCTCTACATTCTTAAAATGGAGCTAAGTCATTTTAACTGCTCTGGCTGCCTGCTGTTGCATTCTGGAACTTGTAGTTTAGGAAGAGGCATTTAGAATATCCAGCCAGAGAGCCTTTAAGCCTCACTGAACTACAAACCCCAAAATGCAACAGGAGACAGAGCTGTTAAAGTTTTAAGAGTATTTTGCGATCGCCTATTTGCTTGATTGATCTAGCCACCTGTAATGTGGTCTTCTTCTTTTCCTGACACCTTCCACCTTACCAAGCATTATCATCTTTTCCAGTGAGTCACACTGACTCAAGATATGCCCAAAATGACTGTTTAGTCATCAGTTTATACACATAAACTACTGTAAAGTACGTGCTCAAGTTCCTAACAAACAGGAAACAAACTATTGGCAACACATCTCTGATTTCCTGTAAAAGAGATCTAAAGTTTCTGCAAGATTATCTTTCCTGATAGCTGTTTCCAAGTCTTGTTCAGTAGACATTTTCTAGCACACAAATGGCTACAAACAAAACTGCAACAAATGCCACTCCACTAATTTCACATATACACTCATCCCTCCCTGTTTGTGGACTTGGAGTCCGCAGTCTTGCCTGTTAGCGGATGGCAAGCAGGGAGGTATGAAATGGCATCTGCGTGCAGGAGTAGACAACCAGAAAAACAAATGGGGCCCCAATATTTGCAATTTTCCCAATTTGGGGGAGGGGGAGGTCTGAAATGGATCCCCTGCGAATCAGAAGGGATGACTGTAAAATGTTTATAAACTACTTACTTAAGAATTCGCTCCAAACAAACAAACACACCCTCCAATGTAGTGGCGCGCTAACAAAGGCAGCATCTGCTAGGTGCAATCCAGAACCAATTTAAATACTTTCATGAAAACTTTTAGCTGGTAAATTTAAAGAAACAGTTTCAACTTCCACAACAGCTACACAGCTGGACTACATGATACCATTGGGAAATAACCTAGCAGATCTCAATTAAAGAAACATGACCACAAAAGGAATATAATCAAGATTATTGCAAAAAGCCACCCTGGATCCCACCATACTGGGAAACTATTGGACAGTCTCCAATATCCAAAAAGGGAATGGAGCGTGTTGTGGCCTCCTGGATGAAACAAATTATCCAGATCTGTCCAGATCTAGCTTTAAGTTTGGTTATGGGACAGAGGCAGCTTTCGTAAACCTACACAGAGGACTGATCAGGGGGAGGGTGTCCCTGTTGGTTCTGCTGGACCTCTCAGTGGCTTTGGACACCATCAACCATGGTATCCTTCTGAGTCACCTCTCTTGGATGGGGTTCAGTCTTTCTTGGA